AAGGGGCCTTTTCTACGTATTGAACAACTGACTCAAAACTAATATTGAATTGATTGAAATAAATACTAAATTTAACCTAATTCTCTTTCGGGCGCATGCCTTGGAACATGCTCTTTATCCGGTCACCATGTGTCGACTGTGGAATGAATTGAAAACAACTCCTTAAGAGCCTTTCTCAGGTATCAAACAACTCATAACTTGTACCATTATAAATAAAAAGTAACTTTTGTGTGAGACCATCTCATATGAAATATGTAATATTTTTTAATTAAATGTAATATTCTTCCATGCACGTATACAAAACATTATGTATTAAATTTTTTTAAAAATTTACCCATCTCACAATAAGACGATCTCACACCATATTTATTCATAAATAAATAATAATTTAAGCGAGGGGAAAGCAAAGAAAGTTTATAACTTTATATTTGGTTATATTATTGTTGGGGGTGAACCGGGTGATATTAGCGATTGGATAGTCGATTTAAAATTGAACTTTATATATATATATATATATATATATATATATATATATATATATATATATATATAAAGAATCAATATCATTCCTACTAAAATTCAAATCCATGACTTCTCATATGGGAAAGTCACTTCGTGCTACTCAACTATAATATCATTGATAATATTCTTGTTACTTAATCTTTATACATTTAAGTTTATTCAACGGGGTTAATCCTAAAATCATCAATTATATATTATTATATTAGTTCAAAGATGACCCACAGATATAATGTAAAACTACGTAATACACAGCTAGGCCCTATGTGGTGTATCGGTCAATGTAGGCATGTAGGAAACGGACGAGTGGGGTTGCATCTGAAGAGATAAGGTTGTCATCCATGTGGACTGAAACCTAAAATGACCACAAGGCGTTTTTGTCAACACATACTCCGAATAATTCATCACCAAAAAGAAAGAGCAAAACAGAACCACGTCGTTCATCATGTTACCAAACAAATTAAACGCCATTGCTAAACTTGGTTTTCTGCAAACTGCTACTGCAGTAACGATGTGGCCGGAGTGGACACAATTGTGACTGTCTAAAGCCGAAATTGGTTAGGCCCAGTGGGGCACTATAAGTCGCTGGCCGGAAATTATGGCATAACCCACTGATTATATCTCGACGAACACAAACGGACAAGGCGCTGTTCATTCGTGGAGAAAACTTTTGGATCAGACATAAGTACATCCCATCTTTTTTTTTTTTTAATTGTCCGCAGCAGCGAAATTTCCTCGCTGCCACGATCCAGATCTCAGTCCAACAAAATAGTCAGTGATAAGTCTCAAATCGCTTATATTAAGTAAGAGGAGAATCGGTACTTGCTATTCATAAGAAATATGCCACATGCCCACACCGACTCAATAAGATTGTGAATGGATAAATCTCAACGAACCAATCAAATTGGTCATGTGGATTTTTTTTTTTCTTGAAACACAACTAACTTTATTGACCATCTAACATCTTATGTTGTCTTTTCATCATCAGATGGTCCATTTCTGGCTTCACAATACTTGTGAATCTCAGAGGTACATGCGAGCTTAGCTTATGGTTTTAATATTGGCCCCTACAAGTTTATTAGTATAGTTTTGGGTTATTGATCAAACATGCCACGAGTGAGATTAGATGATGCAACGAATTGAATTCGATAAAATGGTGTCTTCTGGTATGTTATGGCTGGTTTTTCTCTCAGAACTCTATATGCGTGGTATGTGTATAGTGTAACTTCTAGAGGATGATGTACATGATTTGATATGTTTGCTTTAGTGATGAGTTTGATTGCAAATTATACCATGGATCAGAGTTCACATAGTATTATAGACCTTGGGTATAGAATTCATAATCGTAAGGTACAGAATTCATAACCTAATTAACACAAAAAATCACAAAACAAGAAACATATGTAAGTTATTTATTTTTCCAAATTTGATTTAGATACATAATTTGTGTTCATAAGTATAACATTTCATAACACAAGACACATAAAACACAATTACTAATTTTTATATTCTTCAATTGTGGTACATCGATCATATCTTCTGAACCTATTAAAATCAAGTTTATTATTTTACAAATGAAATACTGAAACTAAAAAAGTATGCTCATTTCTTTGATTTAACTATTTTCCCATTAATCTAATTAATCTATTAATCCTAATTAGTTTTCAAACACTACACGCTCTTGTGTTTAACCACTAACTATTAAACTCCATTTTGCTCCGTTCATTGAGAACGATATCCTGTATGAGGATATAGTCTCATACTCCATCCCATTACCACTTTTATGCAACTTTCAGTACCACTAAAATAAGGTACATTTTTAATAGAGTTAATTTCATTTTTGGTCCTAAATTTATAAGTAACATTCAATTTTTAGTTTTTTAGTTTTTTTTTTTTTAGAATATTCACTATTGGTCGTAGTATTATTGTGACATTAACATTTTGTGTCCTCCATCAACAAACTTGTTTAAATAGCATTAAATATGAGGATATTTCAGTCTATTCAGTTCTAAGTGTTAATTCATTTTTTGGTGACTTATGTGTCATTCCACTACTGCAGAGACTCAGGTTGCGGAGGCGCGAATGCCATTGAAGAAGACAAGGGACTCTAGCCGTGAATTATGCCGTAATTTATATAATTATATATCGATCCAAATATTCTTAAAATATTTTAACAAATTCATTCTGTGCATCGTACGGGCGAAAATACTAGTATAAAATAAAAATATAGAGGGTCACCCCACTTTGTATAAAAAGATCAAAATACCCTCATATTTAGCATCATTTAAATAGGTTTGTTGATGAAGGACAAAAAATGGTCATGACACAATAATACTAGAACCAACATGTGATGTTATGAAAAAAAAGGACTAATATAAGACCTAAAATAGAATTAACTCTTTTTAATTTATTAAATGTTCGTTTTTAATACACGAAATGTTAATATAGTGAATGTTCATTATTTGTGTATCGAATATTCATAATGAGTCTTTAGTACACAAATAATGAACTTTTAATATATTAAAAATGAACATTTATTTATGGCATATAATATAATATTCACTATGTATATGGTGGATTTGGTCCACAATATAACAATTAGTTTTTTTTTTGAATACTGTTGACACTATTTTAATGTAGTTCTGTGCATACATACTTTCTCAACCTGTTGAAGCAGCAAGACTCATGCCCCACACCGGGGTTTGAACTTGAAACCTCTCATTTGAAGGGTCACAGCTACGCCACTCGATCACAAGGCCTTTGGCTACTAACCACCCATGCACTCAAGATCTAAGACATGCTATTAAATGACAAATTATTATGTTGACCATAGTCCACACATTAATTTGTGAACCATAAAAAAGTAAATTTTTAATATACTAAAAGTACATTATTTGTGTATTGAACATTATAAAAAATAATATACTTTCAGTACTTAAATGTAATTTTCTTGAATACAAGGTATATTTTAATATACTAAAAGTACATTATTTGTGTATTGAATATACATTATTTGATAATATATAAAATAATATATTTTCAATACTTAAATAATGTGTTTTATGTACACAAATAATTTTTTTATTCGTTTATATGAATCATGGTTCATGCAATAAACACTCCTATTAAAATACTAAATGGTTGAGATGACCAGGCCCAAAAATTAGTTATTAGTCCAGACTAAAATGGGCCTTAGGTTATCGGCTATCAAAGTTGGTCTGAAGGCCCACGTTGCTTACATCAAATTGTTATGCTGTGCAACTGTGTCCACCTTGCAAAGTGGACACGGTTTCAATATGACGCCGTTTGGTAATTTTAGAGTAACGGTGCTGTTAGTGGCACCGTTTTTCTCCGCCAATCAGACTTTTAAAAAAAAATTGTCAAAACAACTCAGCAATATAAAAAAATTATGAATATGCTATTACGTAACTGTGAATATAGAGTTATGCAGTTGTGAACATAGAGTTCAAGAATTATGAATATAGAGTTCAAGAATTATGAATATAGAGTTCAAGAATTATGAATATAGAGTTCAAAAATTATGAACATAGAATTTTATAATTGTGAATATAAAGTTCAATAATTGTGAATATGGAGTTCAAAAATTATGAATATAGAATTCAGTAATTATGAACATAGACTTTTAGAGTTCAAAAATTATAAACATAGAGTTCTGTAATTGTGAATATAGATTTCAATAATTGTGAATATGGAGTTCAAAAATTATGAACATAGGCTCTGTTTTGGCAGAGCTTATTTAGGAGCATATAGCTAATTTTAAGCTACTAAGTTATAAGCTCTGTTTGGTAATGTTCCTAAAATAAGCTCCTAGCTTAAAATAAGAGCTTATTTTGGAACACTACTTTAGGTAGCGTTTCAAAATAGGCTCCTAGCTTCCTAATTTTTTTCCATATTTATCCTTATTATTTTATAGAAATAACATAATTTACCCTTCCCAATTAAAACCATTTTTCTTCGCCTTTATCCGTATCTTTCACCGCAAATATTATTATTATTATTATTATTATTATTATTATTATTATTATTATTATTATTATTATTATTATTATTATGAGATTTGCAACAATATTGCAACTTCATTATGAAATGCTAGATCATGATTATGCTAATAGTTTTATTTTAAAATTTTAATTTTTAATCATTTTTACATTTATCAGATTATCAAAAGTTAATTTTATCAAACACTTTCAATCATAACAATTAGTTTAATAACTTTTCAATTTTTAACTCCACAGCTTTCAGTTCCTAGCTTATATCTTTTTCAGCTAGTTTGTCATTAGAGCCATAGAAATTTTGAAGGTAAACGCCCGTTAACATAAAGTATTTTTTTCTTAATTGACACGGGCACACGCTTTCATTTTTTTACCAAAACTATGCCGCTTACATCCAGAAGACCCGACTTGGGGAAGACGAAACTCTGTTTCTTGAGTTTCTTCTTTCCTTCGGTTTTCAGTATTGTACTGCAAGTCTATAAATCTATCTCTCTCTCTCTGTGTCTCTGTGATCATATCACCATGACGAAACAGCAAGCACAGTGGGATCCTTATGAAAACAATGGCGGGTAACCATTGCCTTTTTTTTCATCTGTTCTTTTTGCTTCTTTTTCCAATTTTCGGTGCAATACTTGCATTCACTTTTTAAATAATAAAAAAAAAAAATTGGCAGGACCTGTGTTGCCGTAGCTGGTGCAGATTACTGCGTGGTCGCAGCCGACACTCGGATGTCCGGTGGCTACAATATTCTTACTCGCGATTACTCCAAAATTATGAAGCTGTAAGTTTCCCTCTTTGTTCTTCTCTTGTTCTGTTTTGGCATATTGAAAAATATGAAGGAATTTGTTCTTTTGTTAGTCATAGTTTCCATTCATTCTCCTTCTATATGCAAACTTGTGCAGAGCGGATAAATGTGTGATGGCATCCTCAGGGTTTCAGGCTGATGTGAGAGCTTTGCAAAAGCTTTTAGCATCCAGGCATTTGGTAAGATGCTCTCACATTTTCATTTCTCAAAATCACAATTTCAGCTCTCCAGTTCCATGAGTTACACTTTACTTTGTGCAGGGTTTTATATTTGCCTCTTTTTGTGTTGTTTGTCGCTATATATTTTGAAAAGGGAAAAATGTATTTTTAGTCAATCAATCATTTCTGGTTTAGTCCCTATAAGGGGCCGTTTGGTTCACGGAATGTTAGATTACCTTAGGGAATATTAGATTGCTGGGAATGTTAGATTGCTGGGAATGTTAGATTCCTGTGTTTGGTTAAAATTGAGGTATGTAATATAATCATGTTTGGTTTAGGGTTATCTTTTATATATATATATATATATATATATATATATATATATATATGTATGTATGTATGTATGTATGTATCCTTAACATATTTTTCATATATTTTAATAAATTTAATAATTAAATTAAATAAATAAGATAACGGTATCATATATAATTACATGATTTTGAAATATTAACTAAAATTTTGAACTTGAGAAACAAAATTATTTTATATGCTAACATAACGTAATAAAAAATATATAATATACTTACAACAACAACAACAACAACAACAACAACAACAACAACAACAATAATAATAATAATAATAATAATAATAATAATAATAATAATAAGCTAACATAAAATATATATCTTTAAATAATTGGAATTAAAATGACAAAATTCATAAATATGCGAGGTTATCTTACATTACCTAACAAAATGAAGGGAATCACATTCCCTTCAAAATCCTATGTGGAGGGAATGTTGCATTCCCTGGGAATGTTATATTCCCTCAGAGAAAATGAACCAAACATAGGAATGTAAGCTCAGGAATGTCACATTCCCTTGGTTATATAATATAACCTGAACCAAACGCCCCCTAAGGGTTTAATGTTGCAATATATACCCCTAAGCTCACATTCCTATGTTTGGTTCACATTATCTCAGGGAATCTAACATTCTCTAAGAATGTCACATTCCCTCCACATAGGATTTTGAAGGGAATGTGATTCCCTTAAATTTCTAGGGGGCGTTTGGTTGACGAAATCTTGGATTACCCCAGGTAATAAGATTACCTTCAGGAAGGTAATGTGAGATTACCGGAATGTAAGATTACCTTATGTGTTTGGTTTAAATTGTGGAATATAATATTACCGTGTTTGGTTAAGGGTTATATTTTAGGTTATATGAATCAATTTACAATAATGTCCTCAATAATATATATATATATATATATATATATATATATTATTTATGTGCGTGTATTTATTTTATTTATTTATATGTATGAATGTATATCAATGTTCAAATATTAAAAAACAAAATATATAAATATACGCATGTATAATAATAATAATAATAATATTATTATTATTATTATTATTATTATTATTATTATTATTATTATTATTATTATAAGGATAAGGATTAGTTAACAAGGGCAAAGTTGGAATAATTCAAGGTAATCTAAGATTACCTAAAAAAAATGGGGGTAATCACATTACCTTGAAACATTACCGCCACATCAGCTTTCAGGTAATATAACATTACCAGGTAATCTCATAACTTGAACCAAACAAAGTAATATAACATTACTAGGTAATCAAAGATGACCTGAACCAAACGCCCCCCTAAGGTTATATAAGATAACCTTGGTTATGTTAGTTTATTACACACACACACACATATATATATAATTATTTTTGTAATTATATATTTTTTATTTTTATTATGTTAGGTTAGCATATAAAATAATTTTGTTTCTCAAGTTCAATATTTTAGTTAATATTTTAAAATCATGTAATTATATATGATACCGTTATCTTATTTATTTATTTTAATTTTTAAATTTATTAAAATATATGAAAATATGTTAACGATATTATAGTGTGTGAATAACAGATAACCCTAAATCAAACATGATTATATTACATACCCCAATTTTAACCAAACACAGGAATCTAACATTCCCAGTAATCTAACATTCCTAGCAATCTAACATTCCCTAAGGTAATCTGACATTCCGTTAAAAAATTGCATTTTTAACATGGAAGCAATAAAATTATTAAACACTATTACAGTTTTACTTAGTACAGGGATATTTTAGTAGTTTTAATTTTTTTTATTTAATTATAATTTTTTTAGTTTCAATATTTCATTTGTAAAATAAAAAACTTGATTTTAATAGTTTTGAAAGATATGGACGATGTACGACAATTGAAGAATAAAAATTTAGAGAAGAAAGTTGCCAGTTCTCTATTTTGCTTTTGCAAATGAATTACCAAAACTAATAAAGTTATAAAGAATAATGATAATAAGATTTAAACATAATTATATACTAAGTAAAACTTTAATAGAGTTGAATAGTTTTAATTTGTTGCTCTATGTGTTACTCTTAACTTTTTTGAAGAGTTAGGGGTACGATGTATATTGCAACGGTAAACAATTAGGGGTTAAAACGACCAGCAAAGAACAATTGAGGGATTAAAAATGCATTTTCCCTTTTAAAAAAGTAAATACCAATTTTTGTCCCAAGACTATTAGTGTAGTGACAGTTTTGATCCACAAGTTTAATGGCCGAAAATTTTTATTGATGACTATCATTTTAATGCCAATTTTAATTACTCCGGTCTAACTCAAACGTTCCGGAATCTCAAAATTTTAAGGTTATTTTCGTCCATCCAAACCAAAGAAAGTGAGGAAAAAGTCTGCAGATAGATAACCAAAGGGCCTAGCATACTTGGATGGACGAAAATAACCTTAAAATTTTGAGATTCCGGAATGTTTGAGTTGGACCGGTGATTGGAATGATCAAAATTGGCATCAAAATGATAGTCATCCAAACATTTGTGAGTCATTAAACTTGTGGATTAAAACTGTCATAGGCGTAGCTAGAATTGGTATTTAATTTACTCTAAGTTGAGAGTTGACTCATTTAATTGCTAGAGGATTTTCCATAGGCTGTATTATGATGCCATATGTTTTACATCTACCCATGGTTAGATTATCTTGTGCTGTTTTAAGCATAGAACTTGAAATAATATGATCATTCTATTTGTTCTTGAAAACTAGATTTATCAACATCAGCACAATAAACAGATGAGCTGTGCTGCAATGGCTCAGTTCCTTGCAAACACCTTATACTACAAGCGATTTTTCCCCTACTACTCTTTCAATGTTGTCGGTGGCCTTGATGATGAAGGTAAGACATTACATTCTTCAAAGGACCACAAGGACGTAAAACCAGCTAACTTGTAACATTGTGGTTGCTAAGTCGTCAATAGTCTGACTAACTTGATTGGGGTACCGGGAGACCTAGACTTTTAATTGTGTTTAATTACCTTATAATATTTCAGGCAAGGGGTGTGTTTTTACATATGATGCTGTTGGCAACTATGAGAGGGTTGGGTATAGCTCTCAAGGCTCAGGTGCTACCTTGATTATGCCTTTGTTGGACAACCAGTTAAAGTCTCCTAGCCCGCTTTTGGTGCCTGCCCAGGTCTGTAATCTGCTGTGATTATCTACATTATATTCGGTTAGAAACGAGGGAGAATTTTTTCATTGGTTCCTAACAAAGATTTCATTGCCTGGCCTGATCAGGATTCCATTACTCCACTCTCGGAGTTAGAAGCTATTGATTTGGTGAAAACATGCTTTGCATCAGCCACAGAAAGGGATATTTACACTGTAAGTTCCTTTCATGTTTGAGCTTTCTCCATTAATGCAGTGTTTGTTTTCGTGTTTCTTGACCTGTATTGTGTCGTTGCACTGCAGGGCGATAGGCTGGAGATAGTCGTATTGAATCTTGATGGTGTTCGACTCGAAGAAATGGAGCTTAGGAAAGACTGATCATCATGCAGGAGATGTTGTACACTTCAAACTAGTAAATTTTTATTTTTATTTTCAACAGAATAATGCATATTTATAAATACAAATTAAGTTTGTCCAAATCCATGGATAATTAGTTGTGGCCATATATATTCATTGGCATTTGGCAAGAAGAGATGTAGGATGTAAGAGATAATGGTACAAGACATAATCCTCTACTTTTCAGATCCAATGTTGTCTTGCCTTCTTCATTCTTCATGTTCAGTGCCTGTACTACCTAAACATTTTAAATAAACGTTTTAACAAACTCTGTATTAAATGTAACTTTAATGTTCTAATTACATATATTCTGCTTATAATACTCACTCGACTTGTCCGGTGAGGGTGGTGGCTGTCATCTCCAGATGATTTCATGTACGGCAAGTTCAATGCCTGCAACAAATATTATGCACATCAACAATTAAGTGAAGCATAATTTTATTAATGACTTTGATACCAAATTGAAGCATGTGTTGTTTCATATTAACTAAAAATCTAAGTTGATATATAGTTAGATTTCTAGTAGGATACGAAACAGGTGAGAGAGTGTACCTGGATCTGGTCATGAAGGAAGTGGATGTAGCCAATGGCTTCTGTCAGCACGGAGGCTGTATCTGTCTGCATGTATGTTCCCCATTAAAAAAAAAAAAAAAAGTTTGAATAATCAGTGATGGCTGGGTATGGCGTGCTCTGTTAGTGTGTGTAGTGGAAAGTGATTTAGCATTAAAAAATAGTATACCTTGCCAAAAGGTGCCACTAATCTCTGTAGACCTGCTATCCTGTCTCCAAGTTTTTCTTTCCTCACCTGCTTATTAATAATCATTTAATTTACAACCACACACATATACTCCGTATTATTCTATGCAAAATATAATGTTGCATTTCGGAGGTTTGGTTTTCTTGAAGAGTTAATACCATCTGAGGTCCTCCGAGTATAGTGGTTTTGTCACGTTTAGTCCTAAACTTTCAAATTGATCATTTGTGGTCCTTCGACTTTCAAATTTAACCATTCGTAGTCCAAGTTAACCACTCATGGTCCTTCAAGTTTCGAAACTTAACCAGTAGCGATCCTCATGAAAGGACCATGGTTGGTTAAAATTTAATAGTTGAAGGACCATGGGTGGATAACTTGGACCACAAATGGTTAAGTTTGAAAGTCGAATTGAAGGACCACATAGGGTCAATTTGAAAATTTAAGACTAAACATGATAAAACCACTATACTCAGAGTATCTCAGATGGTATTAACTCTTTTCTTTAATGTTGGAATATATATGTGATGAAGATTACCTTGAGCACTGGACATGAAGATCGTTGTGATCCGGTTCGTGGCTTCTTAGATTGTTGATGAGATGCCATTGCCGCCCCCGATACCCTCTTTGCCTTTGAAACCTAATTACAGTTTAAAATTAAATTCACTTGGTTACTGGTTGGTAGATTATGAGAAACGACACAGTACCAATGCACTCCAACTCTGTTAACAATTGCTGAATCACTATAATATACTCTTCCACTATCTTATCGGACTGAGGTGCAAGACTAATAGACTACTAAGTCACCATGATTTACTCATCTACTATTATGTTGGATCGAGGTGTGAGATCCTAGGGCGACGAATTTTGCTTTGTGGGCAAATTAACAATAATTGAAGAAAAAGTAGTAGTTTGATGAAAACATACTTTGTTGGAGCTGCTGGATGGGCTATGAATTGCTTCATGGATGTTACCGAAGCCGAAATACGAGGTAGTGTTGTTGTTGCCGGGAAACTGGCTACACCTAATGATGCCACCACCGTCGTCTGTGTAGGCGGCGGAGATTGAAGAAACCAGTGAAGGCGGCCGCGGCGGAGAATTATTAGAAGAATTATTCATACTTCCAAACCTAGCGGCCGCAGGAATTTGGCGGCCGAGAAAAACATTGTGGTTTAGGTCAAATGAGTTATGTTGCTCGCGTTTGACGACATAGTCCGAGTTGACCGGGATGATATTGCAGGAGAACTGCGACGACGACATGCTTATTCCTGTCTGGTCGGAGTAGTTTTCATGTTGATGATAGTACTGCTGCTCTATTGCTGCCGGAATTGCATCCGCCGCCGCCGAAGACGACGGCGACAACACAGGAAACATTAATCCATCCAAATGTGGCTTATAGTACTCATCATCTTCATCGCTGCATACATATCGACCATCACAATCAAAATGCATCACATATTACTAGCTCTCCAAACCCTAAATTAAAACTAAACGATTACGTTGATGATAGAGCTAGCTTATTCATCATATTGAACCCGCTAACCCAATATGTTATACTCTATCTGCTAACACAATTTGCTAACAACTAACCACTAATTGTCAAACAAGGCCATAATCAAGAAAACATCTTCCTATATATATATATATATATATATATATATATATATATGAATGCTAGAGAGAGAGGTTCTTACATGGATACGATTGGATTCCAGTCAAGTAGGGACGACAGTCCATAGCCAAAACACTGTTCTTGAAGCTGATGATGATAAAGATTTGAAGACTCCATATATAAGCACCGACGATGATAGATATATATATATATATATATATATATATATTTGGGAAATTGTGATCACTGCAACTGTTGGCCCTTGTTGGAGAAAGCTACCTTTATGTGTATGTATATATATACTGGAAATGAGGCCAAAATATACCTTCTGAGGTCTGAAATATAGCAGCAGTACAAGTACATGGTCTAAGTAGCTTTCTAAGCTAGCTAGCTTTGCTTGTTCTTTTATGCCAATTTAAAACTATTGTACTCATGAAAGATAAAGAGGGAAGGTGTGGAACCGCCCACACTAGACTTACTTCTCACACGTCTTTGTACTTCCATTCATTCATCCCTATAACTTTGTCGCTCTAACTTCTAAACTTGGTTATGCCTAATAAAGAATGTACAATTATATTTTCTTATACTTGTATATATAGTAGTTAATATTACATTTTAAATCTGTCCTGAACAGCAGAATGTCGAACTTGGTTATACCTAATAGCGAATGCACAATTACGTACATTTCCTTATACTTAGATCTACCCCACATAATGCTAAACTTAATTATACTTATACTTGTGTAGTGGTCAACACTCTATATCAAATACGATCTACCTGCTGGGACGGCAGAATGGTCAACTAATTAGCTATACATAATAGTGAATACATAATTATATTTTTCTTATACTTGTATAATAGTTAACATTAATTATGTTTTAAACCTACCTTAAATGACATACATAATGCTAAGCTAAGCTAGCTTGGTTATACTTAATAGCGAACACATAATTATATTTATTTATACTTGTATAATTGTGAATGTTACGTTTCAAATATAATCCACCTTAATAAATAATAAAATATTAAACTTTGTCTTTTAATTTAATTAACCTCTGTCAACCTATATATATACAACTTGGCTCCCATATATGTAGTAATAATTACTAGCAAGCCGTTTCAATGATGGATGTATGGAAAGTGAAGATGGAATTGAAGCAGAGACAAAAGGGCCGGGGAATATTATATATCTTATTGTGTAATGATGTAAAAATGATGTCATTAAAATTTCCATTTGGAGAAGATCATCATACCTTATATATTATTATATCCTTGTAATGCTTTTTTTTTTCTTTTTTTTTTCGTTTTTTTTTTTTCATGTAATGATGTAATAATACGGAGTAATTCTTAGCCACAAGGATTTCTCCGACTTCTATACTTTATTGATATTATAAACCTAGGGCTAATATATAGGATATGCATATAATGTATGTGAATCCGACATTAAAAAAAGAAAAGAAACCCTAGCTAGCTATCAAGATACAATATATCAAAATATATATAATCTAGCTTGTGGTCTATTCCTATATATACATAATAATCCTATCGGACACACATATATAGCCCAAACATGAATATTGAATAATATGAGAGATCCAATTGAAATTTAAATGAATTAATCTTGTTCTACAGAATGTGTATAGTATTATATAATTTCTTTTTAAAATTATGTTATTATTCTAATTATATATGCGATAAAATACAATATCCAATTAAATATGTATCTAGCTAATCTAAGATAAAATGAGTAAAAGATTGGAATTATAGTTTGAATTAATAATTATAAAAAAATAGTTTGAATTAATCAATTTCTTTAAAAACTAACATTTAATGTGTTGTTTATGTAGAATCCTAAGAGCATCCCCAATAATTTTTACAGTCTTTTTTCCCATGTGGAAGAAAGAGAATAGTGGAAAGAGAAGGATTGGGTTGCCCAGCAATAACTTGGGCAAATTATGCCTTGCAATTCTACACATTTCATACACACATGTATACATATAGTACATTACATCCTATACGAGCGGGAATTAGTACTATCAGTAACATAATACATAATACACGTAAACTCATAACAGAATACACATAATCTAACATAATACATAATATACATTAACTCATAACAAAATACACATAATCTTACATAATGCATAATACACATAAACTCTTAACAGAATACATATAAACTCATAACATAATACACATAATACATAATACACATAAACTCATAACATAATACGCATAATCTCTTAACATAATACACATAAAATCTGAACAATGAAAACGACGTCGTTTTGGTCAAGGCGCAGAATGCATTGTGCGTCCTGGTGCACGGTATAACGATTGAATAACTTGGTTTTTTGTGGATCCTGTAGAAGAGAGAAACAATATATATAGAAGAGAGGCGCAATGCTACGAGTTTGACGCACATACAGCGCCAACCGGGTGTATGCAGTGCACACGCCGACTGGACTGGCACACTAACTGCTTTGTTTTTATTTATTTATTTCTTTTTTTAGTGTTATATTTGCTTTTTCCTTTTATTTTTCCCCTCTTTTTTCTTCTTCTCTTTCCTACCTGGGTCACTAATTGACATGCAAAAACTAATACTAAAATCAAAACTAAAGAGAATGCTCTAAACATTATTGTTAATGAACTATGTGTTATTATTGTATTACAAAATTGAGTCAAAATTATAAAACCCTTATAACACTCTTGACATTAAAAAGCTAGTCACTGAACTATTAATAAATGTTCATTTGATCATGATGAAGCACAAGCACGTATTACTATGTCAAAAATTATAAAAGTACGTCACAATTATAACATTACATACTAATTCCATCTAAGGTCTGTTATATTATGTCATTTTATTCTATTTATTAATAAAAGAAGTCGAATATGTGAAATATGATTTCCGTACTTAAAAATTATGAGTTTGATTCTAACCATTATTCTCTCAATTAAGCCCGTTATATAATGTCTCTAGCGAATTTTTTCATCACTCAAAAAAATAATAATAAAAGAAGACAATTATTTTTGTTTTTATTATTGAATGGGGGGAAAAGGCGTCAGCCCTAATTAGAACCATTAAAGCACTCGTGAGATGAAAAAGGGGAGGGAATATTAATGCTAGACGAAGGTTATGGGCAAGTTTGTCCCCTATCTTTTGGCCTTATTCCAATTATTATCTTTTTTTCTTTTTAAAGCAATTTAGTTTTTTGTACTAATAATTGGACAAAACACAATAATATAACTCTGGAGTTTTTTGCACTTTTAGTCCCACGACTATAGTGGCACTGGCAGAATTGATCCACGACTTTTGAACCTTGCAATTTTAGTCCACGATTATTGATCTTTTTGCAAAAATGGTCATTCCGGCCACTTTTCCGTCAAAATTTCACCGGAAAAAAAAAATTCTCCATTTTTAGCCGGGTTAAAATTGACATTTTACTTATCTCAAAAAATTAAAAGAAAAAAATTGATATTTGACTACATACAATATTACTGGGTTACATACTACTGCCCCAGGCGGCGGAGTTCCTGGAGTAGGCAGGACTGTCAGTAAGCGGCGGAGCGGCCGTGGCGTTCCCCGGGCTAGTTGGGTTATCCGGCAGCAGCATTGGAGTGGTACATGTACTCCGCTGCCTCGGGCAGTAGTATGTAGCCCAGTAATATTGTATGTAGTCAAATATCAATTTTTTTCTTTTAATTTTTTGAGATAAGTAAAATGTCAATTTTAACCCGACTAAAAATAGAGAATTTTTTTTTCCGGTGAAATTTTGACTTTGACGGAAAAGTGGCCGGAAGGACCATTTTTGCAAAAAAATCAATAGTCGTGGACTAAAATTGCAAGGTTCAAAAGTCGTGGATCAATTCTGTCAGTGTCACTATAGTCGTGGGACTAAAAGTGCAAAAAACTCTATAACTCTGCATTCTGTCTCTCTGATACCAATATGTTTTCCAATAATACATAGGGAATATTATTTTAACCCTTCTATGGATATATAGTCGTATGAATAATGTCAAAAAATGCATACAAAATTTTCACTCGACTAATAATAATTCATGACAAAATTTTCACTGTTTCAGACCAAACATAGTATATCTGATCTAAATCCCAATTAAATTCCCACTTCCAAAAAAAAAATCTCAAATTTTTAATTAACTCATTCCAAATTAATCCCAAAAAAAAATAAAAGGTATTGGAGCATGGGATCCTAAAGGTAAATTAAATGAATTATTGATTTTACCTTTAAGATTAGACTCAACAAATAATTTTACAGTGAAATTTTGAAGTCTAAAATGGACTTAAGTTAATTAGAATTAATTAAAGCTTTAAGACCATTGAAGTTGAGTTGTATTTCGAAGTTGTGGTGAATATCATCAAGGAAAATATCACGTCTAGACAAGATGCCGCAACTCTATTAATGGTTGAATTGTAAGGAAATTCTATCACAGACTTAGACTTTGAAGATCACCCATATTTTGAGGGAAGATGACAAATGTGTTGATTTTATGGCAAACTTGGAGCTGACAACATATGATTGGGAGACTACACAGTTGATTCAACCTCCAAATGACTATTAATCTTCTCTTATTAGATGCAATTGACACTTCAACTCAAAAATTGAGGATGTAATACAGATTCACTCTAATGAGTAGTCTTTTCGTCACACTAAAAATAAAAACCTCAATTATTGAGATGTCCTAGAAATATCCGAAATGTTAACTTTTTTTTTTTTTTAAAGTTTATTTATATTTGTCTTTAATTTGTCAATAAAAAAACGTTTGTTTTCTCTAGAAAGTGAAATATATTGATCAATCCCAGTCTGTCTAATCCACTTGGTGTTGTAGGCCGGAGGAAATGGAATCCAAGTTGGGCGCATTACGTTTATGGGGTTCGATCGACTTTTAAAATACACATGAAATGAAAACCTTATTATATAATAGGGAAAATGGCACTTTTTCCCCCTATGTTATATACTTATAGCATTTTTTCACCCTCAATTATTTAAGTGGCTCTTTTTCCCCCTGAAATGTTAAATGGACATATTTACCCTTAAAATAAATATTTCATTTATTTTTATTCTCCAATAAATTATTACTATAATTTGGTTCAAACCAGATTACCAAACCAAAATATTCCAATTACAATTTATAATCAAAACGCGATATTTAGAGTTTATTAAAATCGCGAACTGGAATGGCCGGTTCATGTTCCGAACTGAAAAAATAAAATACATTTATTGTTGAATTTAAACTATTTTAAAATAAAAAAACAAAATTTTAAAATATAGACAGTTCAAAATCGCGAACGGGATCCGGAACCGCCGGTTCATGATCCAATTTTTTTTTTATTCTTAAATTTAATAAATTGAAATCCAAATATTGGGTTCTAGATCTGAATCATAACTGAAAACTTTTAATTCGATTGCTATAGTGTCTGGTTCAG